AGTCTTCATCACGGTCAACTTTACTCGCTGCACGTGCAGCTTTTAAATCATGGAAAAGACTTCAAGCCTTTTCTTGCACTAAAAAAATAAATAAAAACAAACAAACAAACCCATTGCCATCAAGTCGATTCCAGCTCATAGTGACCCTGTAAGAAAGAGTAGAACTGCCCTATTGGGTTTCCAAGGAGAAGCTGGTGGATTTGAACTGCTGACCTTTTGATTAGCAGCCATAGTTCTTAACCACTACACCACCAGCGTTTCCTGGGCTGTAAGGTAAGGCTAAATAAGTACCGTAAGCATCTGTTCCAGTTTACCTACAAATTCGACTTGAAGACTTAAGGACGCAGTTAGGAACGGATCTTGTTCCTAACCCAGGGCTGCTTGTAATTTGTTTGGACGGTAACTCAGGGAATAACACTGCTAAAAAGAGATAAACACTCAGGACAGCAGGTGGGGAAGCAAACAAAGTTCCCCAGGAACCCTCATGTCAAGGTGATAATGCTGATGCCTTCGATGATACCGTCTTGCGTCCATTTCTGGCCACATGGGCCCCTCCTGTAGCCCAGGCTTTCAAGGGAGATGTTGTTGTTGTAGATTAGGTTACCAACTAGCAGATCTGTGCAGTGCTGCCTTCAGATCCTGGCAAAAGATGTCCCTGCCCTGGGCTCCCCCCTTTAGAGGAACTGGTGCTGGTCTTCCCCCCACTATTCCCCTTCACATAGGGCAAGGAGTCCTGAGGACCTAGGCGACATATCTACCCAGAGCCCTGTATTCCCTTTAGACCATGTTCATACCCTCCCACCCCCTCCGCCCCCCCAAAAAAACCCAAACCTGCTGCCGTTGATTCCGACGCGTGACGATTTCGTGTGACAGAGTAGAACTGCTCCGTAGGGGTTTTTTGTTGTTGATTTTGTTTTTGTTGTTGATTTGTGACTTTGGAGACCCCGTGTGTTACAGAGTAGAACTGCTCCATAGGGTTTTCTTGACTATGATCTTTAGGGAAGCAGATCATCAGGCTTGTTTCTTCTGAGGTGCTGCTGGTTGAGTTCAAACTGCCAACCTTTTGGTTACCAGCTGAGTGCAAACCATTTGTACCACCCAGGGACCTTTCCCTTAGGTTTTTTTGGCTGTAATCTTTATGAAAGCAGCTCGCTGGGCCTTTTTTCCACGGAGCCACTGGGTGGGTTTGAATGGTCAATCTTCAGGTTAGCAACGAAGCGCAAACTGCTTGCTCCACCCAGGCTCATTTTCCATACCCCCGGGGCCCTGGAATCCCCTGCGCAAAGGGCCCCAAGCTGGCTTCCAGGAATCACAGGCCTCTTCACTAGGTCCTTCCTCCTAAGGGTGGGCCAGGCCACTGGTGTGTGCAGCCTTCGACCTGAGGGGGGGCCAAGGGTTAGTGGGTTGTAGAGGAAGGGGGGCAGACAGAATCTGGTCTTGCAGCTGGCATGTCTACTGGCATGAATGGAAGACTGCTGTGGTACAGGAGGAGCCAGGGAAAGGAAAAGAAGGGGCAGGCTGCAGGCTGGGGCTTTTTCTCCCTGTTCTACCGTGTTCTAATGGAAAATTTTGAAGAGTCCAGGAATTTTAAATTCAAACTTGACCTTCCAGGTTATTATGAAGATACCTTTGTCAAGTCAGAAGAGAACATATTTTTCATTTATAACCTTTAAGTATTTAGGCATGTGGTATGTAGCTTCTAAAAGGAACCCTGGTGGCACAGTGGTTAAGTGGTTTGCTGTTAACCGAAGGGTTGGTGGTTCGAACCCATCAGCTGCTCTGTGGGAGAAAGCTGTGGCAGTCTGCTTCTGTAAAGATTTACAGCCTTGGAAACCACCTGCGGCAGTTCTACTTTGTCCTACGGGGCAGCTACGAGTCGGAATTATCTTGACTGCAGCAGGGTTTATTTTTTAGGGGTGGGAGGAGAGGGTTTATGTAGCTTCTGGAGCCCTGGTGGTCTAGTGGCTAAGAGCTCAGGCTGCTAACCAAAAGGTCAGCAGTTCAAGTCCAGCAGCCACTCCTTGGAAACCCTACTGGGCAGTTTGACCCTGTCCTACAGGGTCGCTATGAGTCCGAATCGACTCGCCGACAACATGTGTGGTTTTTGGTTTTTTGTAGCTTCTATTTGTACGCCTGCCCCAGGCCCTGCAAATGTTCAAGACTGACTTCATCCCAAACATACATATATATATATTTTATGGTCAGCTGTGTGGTTTATAAATTGGGAGATTTCATATAAAAATTCTGATTTTGGCTCTTCTTGACACATTGGAAGACATGGCAACACTGGGCCTGAATTCCCACATGGCAACACGAGTTAGAACTGAGGAGCAGCTGCCCACTTTGGGCAGGTAAGCACTTAACTCCTCAATTTGCCACACTCTCCGCCACTCCCAATTGTCCTACATCCAGTGAGCTTCATGCATTTATAGTGCTTGCCGGGGCCTTGAAAGCCATGGCTGCCTTGGATAGGAGCCTGGGACGGAGTCTAGTTGGCAGGAGATACGTGGTGTAGTGAGGTCAAAGCTTTAGAAGTCCAAATCTCTACTCACGGCTGCCCTATGGTTTCCCTATGTTGAGATGAAGTCAGCATTGGCATTAGTCCTAGGCTCAGCCCTTTGCTGCTTCTACCAGGCTGATCAGAAAGGAGAAGTGGAACTGCTTGGGGTCATTAGAAAGTGGAGAACAAAAGGGGAAGAGAAGTCCTTGCCAAGGGATGGGAACTGCGCATGTGAGCTCAGCGTTTCTAGTTCTGGCCCTGAATGTCATTCAGAAGATGCCCCACACTGGTCATGTGCCTTCTGTGGGGCTTTCAAGGGGAAAATCACAGCGCTAGAGCAGGGGCGGGGAGAAAAACCTCTGCTTTGAAGAAAGCCTGCCCCAGCCTCCCATAAGGGGCCAGACCCCACAGAGATAGCTGCAAAGAAAGTGACACCCTAAGTTCTGAGACTTAAAACTGTGAAAGAAAAACTAATTCTATTCAGTGCATGCAACTTCTGAAGGAATGATTAGCTTCTTTGCTCTGCCCCGTTAACAGAGGGGTGGGAAAGAGCTAGACCGAGCATTACCAGTTGCCATGGAGTCGATTCCAATTCATGGTGACCCCGTGTGTGTCAGAGTAGAACTATGCTCCATACGGTTTTTGATGACTGATTTTTTTGAAAGTAGATTGCCAGGCCTTTCTTTCGAGGCACCTCTGGGTGGTCTTGAAGTTCCAATCTTTGCATTAGCAGTCGAGCACGTTAACTATTGGCACCACCCAGGGACTCCAGAGAGAATATTAGCTACCAAAAACCAGGCTCTGAAGGAAATTGATGAGAACGATCCTCCTTGCTGCAACCCCTTACCACACACCTCAATCTACACCGAATCTGAGTACTGGAAGAAAAGCCCAATTTCCTAAGTTTTGTTGGAAGATTAAAGGCTAAAATGCCAGTTTCTGCATTGTAAGAAGTGCTGGTACTTGGGGAAGGTCTTCTGGGCTGCCTCCAACAGGCTCTGAGTTACTGGGCTCAGCCCAGTTCCCACCCCAGGGCATCCATGGCTTCAGGGGTGAGGGCCCTGACTGCAGCAACATGCCTTCAGATGCCCTTGGGTTGGTGGCCACATGCTGGGACACAGCTTTTTCAGGCCTATTCAGAGACTAGTAATCATGATCGCCCCAACACTGGCATAATTCCAGACAGGTAAAAAAACATGGGTGCAGAGAGGTCCAGAGCCTCAAACCAACCAGAGCTGTTGGCTGGTAGTTGAGGAGATGCCACAATACAGAGAAACGAGCCTGCTCGTTTCTCTCTCTCCTCCGTGGTCACCACATCCCAAGATGGCTGCTGGCAAAGAGGCAGCAGCAATGGCAGTCCCTCTGAAGGACACAGGGATGAGACTGAGGGTGGGTGCTGAGAGGCTGAATCAGGCACCTCTCATGGCAATCCCTGTTTCTTTTGTCCCTCTCTGGCTCAGCAGGGTCATGTGTGTGTGGGCAGGTCTCAAGGGGCTATCACCCTTGGACAGTTGTGTGGGTAAGGCTATGTCAGCCGGCCAGCAGGACTCGGCCCAGGGGTCTCTGAGGCACAGGGGGAAATGGAGCATGCTGGTTTTACGTTCTAAAACTGGAGCATTTGAAGCCTTAAAGACAGAGGCCTAACTAGGGGAGGGCAGGTAAGGGCACATGCCCTGGGTGCTGCTTTTTTGGGAGGGGGTGGGCAATTAGCTATTTCTATTGGCTGTCACAATTTCCATCACCAGCTGTGAGAGATCATTCAGCAGTTTAACACTAATTGCCCTAGGCACTATTTTCTGTAGTTAGGCCCCTACCTGCAGACAACCCTGTGTTAACCTGAGCCACTGCGGCACACAAGTAGGCTCACAAAGGCAGCCTGCAGAGCCTCATAGAGACAGGCAAAGTGCTCCATCACTGCTTTCCAAGGAATGTGGAGTCTTCATCGGGACATGCAGACCCGCTGGCAGGAAAGTCCCTGTGGATCTGAGCTACGTGTTGCCCCTTGGGAGCATAAGGAAAGCCCTGCCTTAAGTGTGAGGGGGGTGCCGCTGTGTTCCTAGAATACCTTGCACAGTGTCTGGCACCCGGCATCTTCAAGGGTTGGCTGCCGGGATGAAGATAGAAGGCTGGATAAATGTAGTTGTTTGAGTGGGAGGATAGTATCAACCTGACTTACCATTTCACTCAATGGCATCTTACACTGGTCCTTCTCCCTGTCTAGATGTTTCTGATCTAGGAAACGTGGGACAATGAGGAATGCAAGATGGGAGGTCATGGGGAGGTGATTTGGGGAGGAAAATAAAGAAGATGCCTAGAAGGAGATTGAAGATGCATTGAAAAAAGCCAGCTTCCCAAGTAGATTAACAAACCTTGAAAAAGAAGAGGTGTTAGCAGAGTCTCAAGAGCTCCTGAAGTGTGTACTTGAGGCCAAGAACAAATGAAGGTCCCAACCCCACAGAATTTAGGGCTTCAAGAGAAACAGTCCTGCCAAGTTGGCAGCTTTTACAACATTTATTTAGAAAAATAACCCTTCCCTGTCCTCCTCCCTCTGTGTTGGGGGACTTGGGCATTATGCTCGTTTCTTCTCTGGCTTGGGCCTCCCACCCACATGGGGGTGCAACACCCCAGTGGGATGCCACCCTGCTGGGAGGCCTCAAACACCTCTAGCTGCTACAGTCCTTGTGTGCAATCCTTGTCTAGGCCTCCACCTTCGGGTGTCCCAATGGAGAGGGCAAGGGCAGCTTGGCCACAGTCTGTGTGCCCCTCCTGAGGCCTGCCCAGGCAGCAGGGTGGGGGCTCTGCTCTTTCCGCTCTGCTAGGAGGCTCAGGGCTGAAAGCGTGGGGAGCTGACGTGAGGCTGGTGGAAGGTATACACCACCTCGGGAGGCGAGGGCACACTGGTGGCCAGCACTGAGCACAGGGGCTCATGGCTATTCAGCACCGACGTGAAGTACTTCATCTCCTCTGTGAGCTTCTTGATCTCCTTGCGCAGAGCTGCGTTCTGTTTCTCCAGGTCTTCGCTCTCCTGTGTGGGGAAGAGGGGTGGGCATTAGTGTCAGGGGAGGCAGCAAGGTGGGGGAAGGGAACAGGGGAGGCCAGATTACCTTTTCACTAGCACAGCCATCAGGAAGGGCATTCGTGAATTTTCTGAACATGTGAGTTTGTGCACGTGTGCATATATATTTTATGTGTATATGGGTGCATTTGTATAAGCACGGGTGTACCTCTGCACATGTATTCATAGACATTAATTCGGTGGAAGGGGTCCCTGGGTGGTGCGAACTTTTAAGTGCTACTACTAGCCGAAAGGTTGGCAGTTTGAACCCATGCAGAGGCTTTTCGGAAGACAGGCCTGGTGATCTAAAGACCCTATGGAGGGCAGTTCTGCTCTGCACACATGGGGTAGCCATGAGTCGGAATCGACTTGGTGGCAACTAACCACAACAACGATTAGGTTGAACCGTGTGAAATGGCTGATATTTGTCTGTTTTGACTTATAAAAATGGAGATTTCATATGGTTCAACCTAATAGATGTGTATGTGTGAATGCATGTGTGAATTTTTGTGTGAGTGTGCTCCTTTTGTGTGCATGGGTCTCTGGGACTGTGTATGTGGAGTGAGAATAGCAAATGTACATCAAGGGATGGTGGTTGGCAGGCCAGAGCCTGAAACAATGGAAAACAGTTTGTTAGAACATTACACTAATTTCACTCCTTTCCACTCTATGTTATACCATGTGCTCTTCATATGCTCCCAGTATTTGCATTTAGTCTTACAAACAAAGTCCGTGGTTAATCGTCTGCTTCACTCAGATTCTGGAACGCTTAGGGTCTTTACAAATATGAAATGGTCAGACTCCACCACAGTGTACTATTCTGCTCCATTCTGCTCACACAAGGGCCTGTTTTGCAGTCTTCTGGGTGCAACTCAAGCATATGTGCTTCCCATTTTGGAAACACATTCCCGTGTTGCTTGGGGGAACCATCAGAAACACACTAACTGGGAAAACGCTGGATAAGTAAGGAGTACTGATTACTGATCACAACATTAATTAATCAACAATCCGAAAAAACCCATTGCTGTCGAGCCGATTCTGACTCATAGCGACCCTATAAGACTGGGTAGAGCTGCCTCCATATGGTTTCCAAGGTGTGGCTGGTGGATTCGAACTGCTGACCTTTTGGTTAGCAGCCGTAGCTCTTAACCACTGTGCTGCCAGGGCTCTAGGCCAGAAAGCCCAGGCAAAGGGCATTTCCAATATCTTTTAAGGGTCACATTCCTCAATTTAATCAAATAGACCTTTTTTGCTAATCATTGGTGCCCACAGAGGAAGGGCGAATGGCACTGAAGAGGCAAATAAATTACATTTCAGTTCGAAAAGCAACCTAATATTTAGAGACGAGATCTCCCCCCGCCCCCCATTCTATCTGGTTTAGACAAATATTTCCCAAACTTGCTTTATCATTAGAATTAGTTTGGGACTTGTTCAAAATACAGGTTCAGGCCTTTCCCTTAAAGATTTGAATTCTGCAGGCTTAGGGTGAAGTCTGGGAATATAAATTTTTAATAAGCGCTCCAGGTCATTCTAATGACCAGGCAAATTTGGAAACACTGGTTAATTGTGATATTAATTTTTTTTAATTATGTACGCACTTTCATTGCTTAAGTGCTTTATTTGATAAATGCCTGGCCCATAGTATAAACTCAAACGTTTGTTGACTGATGACTGGTGACATCAACTGCTAGCGACAGAAGTTGACTCAAAAATATGGTGGGTGGTAAGATGTGAGATAACTTGACATTTAAAATTTGCCCCAAATACTCCACCAGGAGAATGAAATGAGCTGCAGGCTGAGGATTGAGCTCTCTGGGATTGGTCTTGGACATGGCCGATGGCCCTAACCTCTGCACCCAGGGTTCTTTTCTTATTTTTTAAATGTTATTTATTTTGTTGCTATTATTGAGCGTATACACAGCAAAACGCACCAATTTAACAGTTTCTACGAGTACAATTCAGTGACATTGATTACGTTCTGCAAGTTGTGCAACCGCTCACCCTCCTTGTCGCAGTTGTTCCTCCCTCATTAACATAAAATCACTGCCTCCGAAGGTTCCCATCCAATCCTTCCAGTTGCTGTTGTCAATTTGATCCCATATAGATAGTTCTTAAAAGTGCCTAACGCAGACACTTTTTACTGTTTAAACTTTGGTTTTAAGAAGACTTTGGGGGATATTTTTGGTTTAAGGGTTAAAGATCCTGCAGTTCTTTTGAAGTGGCAGAGCCCCAGATGACTGTGGCCTTGCCCATCAAGCCAGCTTCCATGCGTTTGCGAAGGGCAGGTAGGAAGGTGCTCAGCCTCAGCTAGGCATTTCCTGAATGTGGCTCTGAGCTAGAAAATGTGCCTAGGTCAGTACAAAGGAAACCCCCACCTCTAAAATGGGGTGAGGTCCCAGGGTAGTACAAACAATTTGCTCTTGGCTACTAACTAAAGGTTGGCAGGTCAAACCTACCCAGCAGCACCACGGACAAAAGGTCTGGCAATCTGCTTCCAAACGAAAACAGCCAAGGAAACTCTATGGAGTTCAGCTGTACTCTGTAACACATGGGGTCACCGTGAGTTGGAATCGATTCTAGGGACACAGGTTTGTTTGTTTATTTTTTCACAGAGGTGATATCAAGAGCTGCAGCCATGGTGGTGGAGTCAGGCACTGCCTTCTTCTGCGAAGTGTGGCTGGCTCATTCATTTTACCATTTGGCTGTTTCCTGGCATATCCAGACAGAGGGCATCCCCCTTTTACCGAAAGGTAAGATAAGGCAACACAATGAGACCGAGGGTGTTGCTAAGACGGGAACTGGGGGCCGGGAGTTCTGTTCCCTTCCTCTAGCCCTTTTCCTCGCCCCCTCTGAGAGTTTCCACCAGTGGCAAAATTTACAGTAAATTGTGTGCTCCGAAGCGCCTGGGCAAACCCCGAGGCTGAAGGGCGGGGCCTGGGTAGGCGGGCCGCAGGGACCGCTCTGACCTCCCTGCCTAGGGGCAGGCCGAGCTTTCGGGAAGTGACAGCAGGTCCTTCCTCCCTGGGCTCTAAGCAAGCTCTGCTGGCCTCTCTCTAGCTTTCTCACCTTCCCCTCCCCTCCCTGGCTTGCAGATCCCAGAGCTCTAGGAGGGGGTTCGTAACCGCTGTTGCCTTTAACCAGAAAACCACCTGTGACAGGAAACCTGCCTTTACCTTGGGAAGCAAGACTGCTTCCTGCAAGGGCCCCTAGAGAAACCAGCCCTGCCAGCCCAGGGGCCATGCAGCTAGCCAGGCACAAGGGAAAGGGTTTGACTCCATTTGCAGGAGGAAGTGGTTGAACTGAGGCCCCATCCCTCCACATCCCCACCCGCCATTGCTTATGTTCTGGAAAGAGCTCACACAGCTGAGGGACAACTGGCCTAGGCAGCCATGGGGCAGCTGTTTATCCAGAGGTACAAAGATCGCCTCCCCGAATGTCCCAGTAGGGGCTGGAAACCTAGAACCTAAAAAGAGGAGAGGAAGGTTGCAGAAGTACATTTTGGCTTCTGCTGAAATTTCTGTTTTTCAGAATGCGTCTGGTCCATGTCTTATCAGGCTCCTTGCAACAACCCTTGGAGGTGGACATGCAAGACCAGTTGTTATCATTAGCCCCACTTTACAGATGAGGTCAACTGAGACCCTAGGGCAAATCTACCCTGCATATTCCACAAAATGACCATAGGCTGGTGGCGGCAGCAGCTGGGAGAAAGGGGTGTGGGATTCACCTTGCTTTCTCAGAGATCCAGAAACTTTGAGTGATTGATTCAAAGCCTCACAGCCACGTAGGGGCAGAGCAGGGCTTGGATTGGGGTCTTCCCATTCTCAGCTCTGTGCTCCTTCTATCACACCCAGCTGCTTTCCCTGAAAGGCTGACAACTACAGTGGCTGAAGACCTTGGCAATCTTCAAGAGAAAACTAAGTCTTGTTTTTGGTGGTCCTTAAAACACAACACATCATAAGAATCCGTAGTCAATCACACTCATTCCAAGCACAGAGCTGATCATCTGCCTCCGGAGCTGAGTTGGGAGGGAATCACTTGTCCAGCTACTCCGGAAGAGGGCTAACTTGAGACCAGACCTTCCTCCAGACATGGAGCAAGGTCCCGATACATGAGAGTGATGGGAACCATCACTGGTAATTGAGGTCAGGTGGATCTTGGGTCCTTGTCCTGGCGGGTGACCCTCAGTGAGTTGCTTTCCCTCTCTGAGCCCCAGTTGCCTTACTTTAAAACAAGAAGACTGAACCAAAACAGTGGTTGTCACCCCTGGCTATACATTGGATCCCCTGGGGAGCTTTAATAAATATTAATACCTGGGTCCCACTCCACTTGGGCATTGGATTGTGAAAAGCTCCCCAGGGGATACTAATGTTCAGCTAATGTTGATAAACCACAGGATTAGAAGATCACCAAGCCCCCTCTAACTCTCAAATATTTCAGCTTCCAAATTTACTACCTGAGTGTCCTAGCAAGCTAGATCCTGTAACTGTTTGAAAGAGGTGGGGGTGGGGTAGGTGGGGGTGTAGACTCAATTTATACGAGAAAGATTAGTAGAAACCAAATTTTTAAAGAAAAGCCTAGTTTGACCTAATAGTAGCTAACATTTATGAAACACTGTCATGTGCCACGAAACCCTGGTGGAGTAGTGGTTAAGAGCTATGGCTGCTAACCAAAAGGTCGGCAGTTTGAATCCACCAGGTGCTCCTTGGAAACTCTACGGGGCAGTTCTACTCTGTCCTATAGGGTCACTATGAGTTGGAATCGACTTGACGGCAATGAGTTTGGTTTGGATCATGTGCCAATCACTCTTTTAAGTACTCTACAAATACTTTGTTTAATCTTTGCAACAGCCCTATGTAGTAGATAATGTTCCCATTTTACGGAAGAAGAAAACTGAGGTATAGAGAATTTCAGAAACTTACTCAAGGTCACGCAACTTGTAAGTTGTCGCAACAGTACTTGAATCAACGCAG